CCCTCTCGTACATAAACGTGATCACATTTACTAGTCTGAAGGATTAACTTCTCTTTCAGCGGTCCTCATAACGATTACCTTTCCCATTCCTCATCCCAGTATGCAACAGTAATGACTAAGACATTGCATGAGGTTTTTTGCTCCGATTAGTGGTTACAATTTAAGTTGCCTTATTTCAGGATTAAAATTCTACTGAGAGTAAGTGATTTACCTGATCTATTATTTCTTGTTTAGAGACATTTTTTGAACTATAAGCCTTTTTAGGTAGAAAACTAGAAATCTTTTTATATAAATTGTGCAGAAGAGACATTTGTTAATACTTGTACTACTAAAACCAGTATCAGACTACACAGTCGAAACAATACTTATTTTTAGTAACGCTCACACTGGGCAATTATTTTTTTCACTGTGGAAAGCATATTGTCCAATAAATATTGCTTTAGAACCATGCAATATGAAAGAGGGCCTAAGTATATGACTCTTGTTTTTCAAGGAGATTTAATTATATAACAGAACTACCACCAAAACCTTCTTGTTCTTAGATCTTATTATTTGTCAGGAAAATAAAAACCACAATAATCATGCCATCACAGCCAACAATTCAGAAGTGAATTCCCAAGCGTGGCTGTAAAACAACTGCAAATTTACTTCCAAGTAACAAGATCTCCCAACAACTTCTCCTCCAAGCATCTGAAACAGTTTAACAACTTACCTCAATTATTTGGTGTTTTAAAGGGTTTTCTGTGACTCGTTGCTTTCTGGGCAAGAGCAGAGATAAAATTCGGATCTTGTCTGTACGACCAAAACCATTTAGAACTCTCACTCAGACTCCAATGCAATGTCAGTCTAGTTCTAATTTTAGCCTATGCTGAGAATAGAAGGAATCACATGAGACACTTCTGCAACCCCCCCAAGCGTTTACCATTCTTAATGTCTTCCCATTTTGCTGAACATGTCTGGACTCCCATAAACTCCTGGATTCCCGTTAACAAAAGTTACAAATTGTGAACAAGCAGAATAAAGGAGCACTTGTTATGCTCCACAATGAAAAAGAACCCAGTTTTGAATTCACAAGAACAATTACTTGCTTTAGTCTAGTAATATTTCTCTGCAAGATAACTGAGCTTCAAAGATCTATTAAACAACAACATTGACTAATTAGCCTAGAAAAAGTATTACATCGCTATGTATTTTACTCACTACTTTTGCCCATGCTGAAGAATTCCCTTGGTGAAGAATTTTAGTGCAAATTACCAAGATCCAGACAGAAAAGAAATCTTTATCACGATGTGCTGGGGGGTTATTACTCACCCCTTTTCATGCTTCCAATCGTGAAACATTTTTAACATTCTGTTTCTTCAAAGAGCCCTCGGAGAAGATAAAAGGAGAACAACTCTGTCAGAATCTTTTTCTTCAACCAAATGGAAAGAGAAAGACAGCAATAATCACAGGTCACTATTTGAGGCAAAAGCCATACAACTGGCTAATTCTAACCAATTCTTGCACCGGAGTATAAAACGTGAAGATGAAATCTTAAAAATATCATTCATTTGGTTATTACCCTCTTTCAGTAGAAATAATTTTTCCTCATTAGCCTTAGTTTCTAGCATTACTACATAAAACTTTATAACCAAAAAAAAAAAGCCCCTGCAGTCCATGACCAGCTAAATACCTGAACACCAATATCTATTTAAAAAGGCACTAACCGCTTCAGCTTTCAATCTGCTAAGTTGGTTTGTTCTTTTTTTTTTTTTAAAAGTTATGCAAAAGCAAAAATGATCCAACAGGTTCCTTGGTATAGGTAGCAGGTACTACTTCTTTCAGTTTTGGTGTAGATTCAATCCCCACAGTGTTCTCTAATCAATATTTTTTCTTGATCTAAAAAAGCCATGACTAAAACCCTAACTACTTCATTTCCTCCTCCTTAGACAGATAATTGGAGCTATGAAAAAAAACCAAACTTTTATATCGGAGTTTTGAGAGACAAAGAAATTTCAGGCTCCTTGTGCGAGCAAAATTATTCTGTCGCAAATATTTCAAAATCACTTTACTGCTTTCTATCGTACACTTGTATTTACTCAATTTATTTTCTCCATGGTCATCAGATTAAAAAATATACTGTTCAGACTAAGCCCTCACCACCACAATACACTTGTAGGAGAGTAGCCATTAGGCTGTGATCTTTTGGTAGTCTTGAGTGCAGCAGGTTCTTTAAGATAAGAATAGCAGTTTGAGTCACCTGTACAGGACTGCCTGCATAAAATTCACAAATAAAAACAATATTACTACAATTCTTGGTAGCTTTTTTTTTTTTTTATTAGGAATAAATAAATCTGATAAAAATGAAATAGGTGATAAGCACGATATACTAGTCAAACTTTGCAAGAAATGACCTATATAAAAAAGACCCTTAAACCACAATAGAAATATAAATAGCACCGTACACGTATGCTCCCTCCCCTACATTACCAGCTTTTCTGTTGCTTGGTCTCAGCATCAAGGACAGTGGAAATTCTACCTCCGGTGGCTTAATGTGTCGCATCTTCACAACTAAATGCAACAGACAACTTTGGTCTACAATTTTGGAGAACGCTCCTGTAGAGACAGTTTTTGATATATCTAAAGAAAGGAGAAAATGTCCATTTTGTGCCTCGGAAACTCATTTTTAAGGCCATGTAACTGTTTTTTTCTTGTGTCTGTATGCAACTTATGTTTCTAGAAGGTGATATCAAATGGTTTTCTTCAATCTCCTGTTGAATAACCAGGGCAATCCTCATCATCTGTTCAGTTTACCTTAAAGCCACATAACTGTTGTCTGTTCTGAAGGCACTAGCCTGAACCTATTCATTATGTGCCTCGTATCTACGTTTAAAAAGTCCTTATCTCAGTATTTTTTTAATGTTAATTCTTTGTTGTATCCGATTAATCTGTCAAAATCTGGTATCTGAATATCAATAATACAATGCAAGCTTGCAAGCTTTTAGAACACACTCTGCTTACTGTCAGGCTTACCTAATGGCAGAGTAACAAATGAGATCCTCCTTTATTAATTTTTTTCTTTCCTTTTTTTTTTTTTTTTTTTGTTAACAGACAGATGCATTCTATAAGAAACAAAAATAACTGGAAAGTATTTAAGGACTGCGAAGACTGCCAGCCTAGAAAAATACAAGATATTCTAGAGAGTTATCTATAAATGTTGTCAGTAAGCATTTGAATAAATACGGCCTCTTCATTTATAATTTGATAAAGAGTACCTGTGCAAGTAATTGCCAGGAAAAAGTGGACTGGCAAAGGACTTGAGAGGTTTACTCAGTTAAACAACAAAAAGCTCTCTGGACATCTTGCAGCAGAAGCATAAAAGGCATTTTATTTGTATATGATTTTTGCATAACTTCTTTTGGGAATTTGGATATTATTTGTTAAAGTAAATTTACGTGTCCAATAACGAAGAACTATGAGTATTTCCCTTCAAAACAGGTTAATCAGATTATAAATACTGCAGATGTACATCAGTATCATTCAGTCACCCCAGCCTCACAAACCGTATGTATTATAAAAAGCAAAATAAAGACATTCCATCACCATATTCAGAAGTCACGCCATGACCTACTGACAGTCTGCTGTAGAAGAAATTACAGCACTACTAATTAAAGGAAGTAACAATTCATTGATAGACTGATACCAGCTGCTGAGAACTTTTAACCACGTAAGATCATTACACATGTGAGTAGCAAAGGGCACGTGCTAGCAGAGCCAGGTTTTGTAATTATTCAGTCTAATCCACAAAGTTCAAAGGCATATTCTAGTCAGGGTTTCCTTTATTTAAGGTCTAGCAGCATCGAAGCAGGGTTCTCCAAGTAAGATTTCCACAAGTTGGAAAACCGGGCCATTGTAGCTCCGTCAATGACGCGGTGATCAGCTGACCAGCTCACATTCATTATCTGCGCCTTAAATACTTCACCTTTCCCATTAAACCGAGGAAGAACCTAAAAATCAGAGTAAGAAAAAAGATAGAAATATTAAATACTTTCATCAACAGATCTGTATTTTTTATTGTTAAGTTGTTAATCTAAATTTAAACGTTTTGCTAATTAGACAGACAGCAGTAGAGCCACTTAAAGAACAAAGACCTTCTCAATATTGTTTGTGCTGCGGATTAGAACATACTGCAAACCTACACAATAAACAGCCATATCCACATTCCACCATCACAGAAATACTGAAGTACTGAAAACCTTTCTTGACTCAAAAGTTTCTTCCTGAATAGTTTATTGCACTGTTAGTGCTCAAAGTGACGGCTTCCTTAAAGCGTCCCCTAAACGAAAGGCTCATATGAAGAACACAGAAAAAGCATTTTAAATTAATACTAATTTTATTTCCACCACGGATCCCAAATGTCTATATTAAAGAATTAAAGCCTGCAATTCAGAAAATATGAAACTGCCTTCACCACACCGAGCTCTGTATCGATCCAGCTATCTGGCTCATGAAACCGAACTTCAGTATCAGAATACTTTTTTAGTCTCGAGTTTTCTCCTCAATGACAGCAAAAATGCTATCGCCACATTGCAAAACTTGTAAAAATATATGTATGTTGTTTCTTAATAAATAGAAGGCTAAACATAGGTGTGAGTGAAATGTAACAGGACTCTAGAAAGCAAAGCTGAACCTGAGGCATAAGAGACTTCTATTTAAACATTTGGTGTCTCTGCCCAGTCATCTGAAAACATCACAAAACTTCTCAATCACAAGCTATGCAGTTTCTGTAACACAAAGAGGAAATGTTTATGTAAGAAAAACAAAACAAAGGGACACTCCACGTTTCATTTTCATTACAGATGACCTTAGTTAGCTACAGCTAAACACATCACCGAGAGAAAGTTAAGATACCTGTATCTTTCCAAGTGCTCCAATAGCTACTTCAGGAGGTAGTATCACAGGTTTGGTGTAAGTGCCACCAATCTAGAAAAGAAAAAGATGTGGATAGTTTACAAATTTTTTTTGCATTAATTGCTACAGGTTTTGTTCATGTTCAACTTCACTAAGGTATTCACTTCAGAAGCAGTTTTCAGATTTAAGTTCTCACTTTTCCTGTACTTACTGTGCCGATATTTGAAAGGGTGAATGTTCCCCCAGTGAGGTCATTTGTTCCCAGTTGGCCTGCAGAGCCCAAGGACTGTAGGCGATTTAATTCAGAAGCAATCTCAAAGACACTACAGACTTGAACGTTTTTCACGTTTGGGACAATTAAACCTTGCTCTGTGTCCATAGCAACTCCAATGTTGTGCGAAGCCTGCAACAAGTTTCATTAACTGGACGTTAACACAAGCAGCCAACACAAAACGTATTTTACATAAAAAAGCACTTGAATAATGTCTTTATGTAACTTTTTAAACCTAGAAAGTGCTGTCTGTAGTATGCAACCTGTATATACAACTCTGAGGGGTGAAGGGGATGTAAATTTTTAAATATTAGCTTTCCACATCTGCAAATTTTGCAACTTGGTTTTGGCAATTTCACATCCAGGAAATACAAAATCCTGGAATCAATTTTGCACTGAAAATATTACACTTTAGGGTGATTATATGGGTAAAACAACAGAACCAGCAGATTTTAAAGAGAACAATCAAATTTTAAAACAAAAGAAAACTGAATTGCCTCTCATTTGCTACAAGGAATATATAAGGATTCATCTGAGAGATACTGATAAAACAGCACAAAAGGAGTTTGCACTGCAAGAAGCATGTGCACATCACTTAAGAAAGGAGACACTCACTGCCCAGAGGTATCAGCCCAGCACCTTGTATGAAAATTAAATAATTTTTATCAAAACTGAGTGTTGAGGTTGGAACAGTGGAACCACTGTGCCATTACTAAAAAATTACTATATTAGATTTTAAATGTTCTCATTTTAAATGCTTGGCCCATCTTCAGGTGAAAAATAGGAAATCACTATATTAATACGCATTTCTGAAGCAAGCCTGAATAACCAAGTGACTCTCATTAAACAAACTACTGAAAAAAGATCAATAATAAATCAAATCCAATCTTAGAATCCAGACACACAAACTATTTTCCAGCACAACACCATAATTTTGGTTCTTACAATCAGCTCAGACATGCTGAAAAGCCCTTGTTATCTGTTAGCTTAGGGTTTCTGCTTACAAGTTTTATCAGCGGTTTACAAACCTTATATGTGACATGTTGACAGCTTTCATCCAAAGAAGCATTAAGAATGGGATACTGCAATAATCCCAGAGAGGCTGCCTGTTAAATATAAAAGAAAAAAAAGAAAAAAGAATAGATTTTTATACTTTGTAACCAGAGAGCTGCGTGGAAAGGAAGGAATGATGGGAGACAATTTAGATTAATAACAATATGGATTTCCTGAATGGAATCAGATTTGGCTTAAACTCACCTAAACTTGTCTGTCGATATTCTGTCATTATTAGGACAGCAGAAGAAAAAGACAACTTACAAAACCCAAATACGCATCGGACAGACATACAAAAAGTGATAATCCCTTTCCCAAGTATAATGAAAGTTGAATCTACATTTGTTAATTCTGTTCCACAATTCAAATCCAATATTCCAAGAAAAAAGTTACAAGATTCAGCAGCAACGTCATTCTCAGCTCAGCACTTAGATGACAACTATTTCAAGGAAATAATATTAATTCCCCCTAAAGAGAGTGAGCAGAACGAGTGCTTACTTAGCACTCTAATTGAAACAGCATTACCAGAAGTTTCAGACTAAGCTGTGCATTCAAGGCATTCAATGCATAGCTTAGGCAGTGCATCGGCCTTCAGTGATGCCAACCGTTGGAAATGGGACCACGGCAGCTAAAGAAGTGCAAGTGCCTGGTCTTTTGAACAACAGAAGAGACATATTGATTCATCTAAGGGCTTCACCACCAACACAGCTCTAATAATAATGACAGTAACAATAATAATGATGCATTTCACATGAGGTTCCTTTTAATGGAGCTCACAAAAAATACCAACAGTTTCCAAAGTTTGTTTTGTGTAATTCAAACACCTAGTGATGCCTACCCCCATATGAATATTGCTTTATCTACTCTACACTTTCCTATTAATATTTCAAAAATTTTCCATGATACTATGTAACTCTACAGTTCCAAGAGTAAATTGATAATTCAATAAGTTCAATAAACAAGGAAAGTTGAGACTTTTCTTGCGACCTGTAATTATTCAGATGACACAGAGGTGTTCCAAACTTAGAACAATCATTGATCAATTCTAGCACAATCTGCGTTAAGTACTCCATGCAGTGCTCTGCTGAACGTCTCACCTTTATGAAGAAAGGCATAAAGGAAAGCTTAACTCCACGAATTTGTGCTAGAGGTTTCAGCTCTTCTCGCAACTGAACAAGCTGAGTCAAATCAATCTCATCACAATAACCGAAGTGGGGAATCTTCAGGGCTGCACTCATAGTCTTTACCATTGCCTTCTGAAAACCTGGAAAACATTCACTGACTTTTTAATCCAACAAAATGAGCTTCTGGGAAGTTATGGTGAAATTTCAAATAAACAAATTACACAACTTAAAAAAAAAAGTGAAACAAAACAAAACACAACCACACCAAACAAAGGAGAGTGTAAAGCTCACTTCAGATCAACAGTTATTGAGCACATGTCAACCCAATTTTTATGATTTTAATATTTCAGATTATATTACTGCATATCTCCCCTATGTATGTATGTATTTGAAATCATAATACAGTAACCTGCACTACTCTTTCCAGCCTCTCCAAATAAACACTGCCTGAAAGACAGGCAAGAACCTTTTATCTTTCTCTTTTAAAGTGATTTTTCTTACGTCGGTGTCTTTTGTGGCACTCTTCTCCAGAACGAGTGTGAATGCTGAAGTACACTATCATTAAGCACTGACAAACCCTTAAAATCACTGCACTTTGCCACTAACTGCATAATGATTCATACTGTGACAAATTCATGTGTTTCAGAATTCCTACCTGCTTCAGCATACATTTGAAGAAACATGGAATAAAAACGAGCAAGTGCAACTTGCAGCCCAACTCCATCCAACCAAAACACGAACAATTATTTCATAAAATAGTAATTTCATGCAACACCTTCTAACAGCGTGTGCTTTCCTACTGCTCACTTGCATGACGATAACAGGAAACACACCAAAAGAAATCACCTGTTCACCAAGTAACATTTACTGGTAGTCTACCGTGAACACGGTCCCAAGATTTTATATTTCATGATTTACCTGTTACAGGTTCAGTTTTATCTTTTCCTGAAAACACAATGGGTCTGGAAACAGGCACAGGAATTTTGCGTACTTTGTCCTTTGGAGCAGCTGGCACAGTCTCTGATTTTGGCAAAGGTGGGATAATTTCAGCCTTCGGTGATGGGGGTAAAATAGCTCCTGTTTGTTTGGCCAAATAATTGAGTATGTCTTCTTTAAGGATTCTGTTATCTTTCCCTGTTCCAACAACTTCACTCAATTTAATCTGAAAAGTACGTAACAAGCTATGACACTTTCGTATTACAGCGATATAAAAATATCCTACATTGTGAGCTACAGTTAAAAATTTTTCCAGTTACTGACCTAACATTCCTACAGTTTTCTTTCCCTTTCTATGACTTATTAGGTACTCAACATTGCTCAAATGTTGAACCCAGAAGGCCCACTAGGTGTCCAATTGCATACTTTTATGAATACTACTTACCTCTTTATTACCTCACAGGATCAACAGTGAAATATTAATTTGAAGAAAGCTACTTGTCACTTAATTTTCTCTAATTATTTATTAATTTTTCTCCTAAAAATGTACCACAAGCTTTCAAAACCAATGGAATATTCACAGATTCACATGAAAAAAAATTACAAAAGTGTTTAAAAGATCACCTAGTACATCCTCTGCTCTAATACAAACCTGAAAACCAGAATAAGGCAGCTAAAGCTGAGATTTGGTTTTTCCCTCCTCCTTCCCCTCTTCCAGGAATCTATTCTGATATTTTATTATTTTTATATCAAAAAAGGTTTTCTTAATCTCCAGCTGAAATCCAGTAATTCTTTTCCTATCCACCATTACCATCAGAAAGCACAATCCTCTTCATCTTCACAGCAGTTTTTACATGTTTGAAATGTATTTGAAAGCAAGTCATTTCTCACTGCGCTTTCCTCTAGATCAGTGTTCTCCTGGTCAGCCAAACCGCTATAGAAAAGATGGATAAAAAGCAGCAGGACCCGACTCAGCAAACTTACATTGTTCTCCATGGCCAGACGGCGAACTGCAGGGGTTGCTAATGTTTTGTGACCTTTTATCTCTTGGTGAGTGTGCTCTTCATGAGACATAGGAGGTGTTTCAACAACATCTTCTTCTGGGGCAACGCCTGCAAACAAAAAGAAAGAATTTAACTTTACTATGTTACAAGCATTTGTTAAATTCCAACCTCAACCATCCCGTGATTCCATGACAGATGAAGTTTTTAACCTTTACTTTGGGCTGCTGTGGATGGGAACATAGCATGCCGAAGGCTGCTGCTTAAGCCACATTTTCAATAGGAAATGTCTGGATTTTGAGATTTAAAATCCTAATAAAATTTCACAGCTTTTTCTTGATATTATAAAGGGAAAAAAAATAACTCCATTTTAAGATTTTCAGGAGGAAAAAGTAAACTCCTCTCACTGATGGCTTTATGACAACACACATAAAACATGCAAGAGGAAAAAAAAGGGCTTACAATCACCTTTTGAAGCATCGATTTCGATGTCCACTAATGGTTTTCCAACATAAGCAATTTCATCTAAATTGTAATGGAGTTTTCTAATGATGCCATCATAACGACTAGTAATAGTAACGGAAGCTTTATCGCTTTGTACTTCACAGATGCTATCAAACTGAGACACGCTATCACCTTCCTTTATATACCTAAGAGAAAAGACACAGGGCTAGTGTAAAACATATTAAGTGTAAATCTATGTGTCTATGCTGTGTATTCTTTTGATAATTTCAGTTACGTACATCCCCACAACGTGAAAATATGCAGATAAGAAGACAAATTCTACATAACGGATACATTTGCTGTATACCTTTTGTCTGACTGCTCCAGAACCCTTTGTGGCGTAAAATGACACACAGATTTAGAGTATCACCACATATATAGTTTTACTATTACTTTAGTCAAGCAGAGTTTTCTTAACAGACCATAAGCCATCTAAAAATAAGAATGAGTCCATCTCAGTCTGAACCTAAGGAAGTTGTTTCAAACGCCAGGATCAGTATAGGATCAGTTTCAGAAAAGAAACAGAGTGGGAAACACCATCTCCTATGCAAAAAGAGGTATTTTCACCTATTTGTACAAAGAACAAGGCATTTTGACACTGCTTTCCTTCACTGTACACTTTGATTTTGCTTAATCCATTCATCATTGGCTTTTTTACAAACAATTTAAATGTTCAAACATTTACTAAAGTCCATAGAGAAGACATATAGGATAAAATTACGTGGATTCTCCAGACTAGCCATTTGTTTCTAAAGTTCAGCCTAAGAAAGTATAATAACAGACAGACCTCCTGCACTCTAAAAACACTAATCACTGAAGGAAAGCCTATATACAGCTGCAGTTAGGGCATCCCATTCCTTCCATCTTTTCCACTCCCAAACAAACCAGATTGCAAATAAACAAAATGTAAAGCTCCGTATATACAAGGTTTTAAATTGTGGAAAACAAAACTTGAAAAACTTCACTAGCAACGCAGAAAACATGTTCTCAGACAAATAACTGGTAATACAGCTGCTAAACTACTTGCTGATTTCTTAGCGTATTTCTAAGGAAGCAGAGCTTACCATTCTTTTACAGTCACCTCCGTAATCCCTTCTCCAATGTCAGAAAGCTTAAACTGGACAATTTGGCCACATGAAACTTAAAAGAGACAATAAGCAAATACAGCATGCTTAATATTAAATATATCAGACAGAAAAATCTGAATGCATCAAAAATAGTCTACATACCAGCCATATGCAAACCGCTAACATAACACTCATAGAATAGCAAAACAAAAGAAATTATTTGATTATGAAAAAGATTACCAGCAGATGTTCTGAATAATCGCTGTTGATGACTAAACTTGAGGGCAGATTTGTCAAACACGCACACGTATTTTGATTTTATAAAGCGAATGCTGCTGCACGATCTAACTCGGTGAATGCAAACCTGGGAGAGAAAAGTCTCATGTGTTAATACAATGGACTGAGGAATGTAGAGCTCATTTAATATTCCTAATGCAACAGTAATACTAAAAGAGTTTAATTCTAGTTGATATAAGAGAAGATCCTATAGAAACACAATTATACTGAATGTACAATTACAATTAAATTAGCATAAGCTTTGCCAGGTCTTTAACTTCTTTCACTAATACAACACACGGAGAGATCAAAGCCACAATAACACAACCAATTAACAAAAATCATGACAAGATCTGGGAAGAGATTCATACTTGCTATTGTTTCTCTAAGCAATTAGTTTAATCAGGGCACACGCACAAAAAGCATACATAATATCAACTACATCAGCCATCTGAAATATTCTTATCCAGAATGCATTTCCTAGACTGCAGGAAAAAATCAGCATATTTTTCTTCGTCAATTCTTATTCCAATCAAAGGTTGATCAGAAGTACTAATTGGAAAGGAAATCCACACCAGAGGGCACAGGCAGTTGCCCTTTTGTTTCTGTTAATACGCAGGAGGCAATCATCTTCAAGGAAACATCATTTCACATCAACCATAACGATATTTTTTTAAGAACTGGGTGTGAGATGGCTTGCTTTCATGGTTACAATTATATTATCCAGAAATCAACTTAAAGGGTCAACAGTATTTTTCTGAAAGGTTCTTCAGGCAAAACCTTATGCTTTAAAGCATCATGTAATCAGTCATGATTTTGGTCAAAAGCAAAGCCAGTAGTACTTGCATTGACATAAACAGGCATTTTATCATTAATCTCAACAGAAGTTAGTTCAGACCCTTTCTTATTTAGTAAGATTTCTTAAATCTAATGTAATTCTGGTGTTACACTGTCTTAGAGTGCTGTAAAATTAATAAAAATAACAACTTATCTGTAGATACTATCTCTAACTGATTTAGAGATATGGAAAAAATTCAGGTGCTACAATGTACCTCAAGTAGCTCAAAACTGTAAAATTTAGAAATTATCTTCTTAGAGGAGCCAGAAAACAGCACACCTGCATGGGAAAGTTCATTTTAACTTCTTTTTTTAAAAAATCCTTTCAGTAATTACAGACCACATCAAACCTCCTGGTTGCCCTCCCCACCTCCCAAACTGTTGAACTATTTGATTTTATATTACACTTTAAAAAAACAGATTATTCAGAAAACTGTACAATTCTGAACTGACAATGTACACAATTTCTGTATTATCTAATCTAGTATTGCAGGTTATATTTAGTATCTCCTTTCTTTTAGGAACAAATGTTTATAGAATACAAACCTGGTATATAATGTACATCTTCAGAAGCCTATTTTCGCCTATTTTTAACTCTGTTTTTCTTCCCACTTGAGTCCACAGTTACTTTTTTTTTTTTGTCCAACAAGATCTTTCTGTCCCAAACTTACAATAAAACTCTTTCCTCTTTATATGGCCCTACATGGAAAACATTCAACATTTACCTGCGAAGATGATCACAAGGAGCACATCAAATTTCCAAACTATTTCTAAATATGAAGTTTCATAATGCTTTTGATGTGGTTTTAACATTTGGCAACCAACGCAGGTAGTGGATTGGTAATGCCACTGCCAAAAAACCAGACCGGTTTTGTTACAGAACAGTTTCAATGTTGTTCCAAGTCATATTTGTAGGAGTAATTAAAAACTACTGCATTTTTCAAAAATTGAATCTTTTCGGATTTCAGTTTTGCATATTCTCTACTGAAAGGTTGGTGTGCTGGTACGTTAAAGCAAAAATACAGTACCCAGTCTCTTCACAGAACAGTGTTCCTTTGTAACAAGAGGGAAAATTAAAATCCATGAAATAAAGAGGCTGTGCTTATTAATTTCAGTAATGCTATTTACACTGTGTAATCACTGCAACACTATTTTCTGTGTAATGCCGAATAAGGAAATAACAAAAGCATATATAAAAGACAAGATTAGTTCTAATATCCACAGCGTACCCATCTACGTATCTCGATGTCTGGAAAAATACAGCAATAAAAACCCAACAAGCACAGTACTAGCAGGTACGTTTATGTCACTGCTACCACGCTACATGACAATTTAAAGACAATAATGCCACGGTAAGACAGCACCTTTCCTGTGCAAGTCTTCAAAGCGCAGAGTTACTGAGGTGAGAAGAGACTTGAGGACCCACTCCAATCTCCCCCTGATCCTGAGGACACAACAGCCACTAACACCTGGGTGACGAAGACTTGTTTGAACCAAGACAACACGGGAGCTGTATGCGATTTGGGGGAGAACTGCCCCGCCCCTGCTTAGTTCAGTTTTGGTTGTTTCCTTAAAAAGAAGCCAACTGTGCTTTTCTAAATCACCCCTGATCCTAAAAATCTACTGCCGGTGTCAGAACCAAATGTTTTCATGCAGCCTGCAGGCAACTGATTACCTGTTGAAGTAACACTGAATTTCAAAGTTGAATAGTTTGTGCTCAAAGGCAATGGCTTCTCACTGAAGGTTACTCCTCTATACAACTCTTTTGACTTGCTGTCACATTGAGTCATTTTAATGAACATTTTCTTACATTGGATTTGTTTTGCATATGTATTCTGTATCTCCAAGTGTTTAACTGCCTATAAAGTGATGTAGCATGTTTCAGTCAGATATTACTCCTCACCTAAATAACTGGCACCACATCCTAGCATCTAAGTAACTGTTACTTCCCTACTACTTAACACAAAGACCTCCCAGGCTCCTTTCTTTTCTCCTTCACAACTTACAGCCACCATGGACAACCACCATTACTTCGTCCTTCCTCTTGCTAGCCAAAGTGCTTGCAAAATCATTGTGAATCTTAAAATAAAGCCCTTTAATATTATAATAACCATATTATTTCTTGCATCTTATCACTTTTTCACAGTAGATGGTCACAAGAATTAGTCTCTAGCAAAATTCAAGATGTGCTTGCAGGAAACACACACTATAAATAGGCAACTCTATAGTTTAGCATGCACAGAAATGAGCATTTTCATCTTATCAGAATCTCCCTCTGGATTTAAGAGCAGGTGGTTTAGTTAGAAAGAAAACTAAAAAGAAGCTGCTATTTTCAATATTCTTAATTACTAAAATTACTTATATGTAGCCTAAAACTAGATAATTACAAAAGTATCACTGAAGAAATTCCTCATTACTATGCTTTCAAAATACAATACGAATTATTAAGAGCAAAAATAATAACAGAAACTAGAACTGATCCTTAATTTTGTTTTCACTTGGATTATCTTACGAAAAAAACGCTTCTTTTTCTGACATTCCACAAAACAGCAGTGACATAATTGGAAACCAACACTCTTCACTACAGCAGGACGGCTATAACACAAGAAGGCAGAAGAAAGCATGAAGTAAGCCTCCATGATGGTGTGTGTTTATGAGACTGTAAGTGTCCTAAAAGGCAACCAAGTAGATTCACTTCTTAAAGCACGGTAAGGAATCTCAACCACTTAACTGACAAATACCAAGGCTCCTGGGATTCACATAAGTTTCCCCTTTCCGTGTGCTCAACCACACCGTCCCTGTGCAGACAGGGTAGGCACAGGGGGCTGATCGCAGGGTACCGTGCAGGCAGGGCGATGGCCCAGGTGACTAGGCAGGAACAGAGAAGGAAGGTATGGGGGGCTTATTGCGGGAGGCACACGCTCCTTTCACGGGACATACAGGCAACGGGGCAAGCATTCAGCGGGCAGCCGCGTGGGGCGGAGGGAACCTGCTCGGGGGCTCCCTGCGAGCGAGGCCACACTAACCCCCGGGGAGCAGCGGGCGGGCGCCCCCGGCACTGGCTGCGGGGCACAGCGCCACCCGTGCGGGGCAGCGGG